CGGGAGGCATCTCTCCCTTCCTGGAACTTCTCCCTTAACTGCCTCAGCTCTCGTTCCTGAGACTGAACCAGGACTTTATATTGCCTAAGGTGAGATAGTAGAGAAAATTGAACAGTGGAAAGGGGTGAGTGATCAGTTCGAATATTGCAATAGAGATTTTTAAGACAATGTCCTCAAGGAGACCTCCAAGGAGAAGGTCAGCACACATTTAAAGAAATGTCTGCGGCCAAGAGAAAGAAGGAAAAATGGTTTACAGGCTTCCTCTATATCAGAGAGGGCTCCTGTAAGATGCTCGACGATGTTCCATTCATCTTTCCCTTCTCTAAACAAAAGTAGGTGTCTTCCTTATTCAGTTTCAAAAAGACATTCATTCCTTCAGTTCCTCACTCTGGCAATGGACATTTCCATGTGAAAATACAAATAGTCTATCTTGCAGTGACTACATACAAAACCATATACAGAAATGTGGCCAAGTGCAGACGCGGCCAATTGAAAAGATTAAACAAGAAAAGAATGACAGGCTCCAGAAGGCAACATTGATTGGGTCAAAGATAAGATGCCGCAGTCAGTCAGGAGGTGATTCTGACTATGGGTAAGTGGGGTGGTGATGGCACACCATTTTGAGTACACTGAATGCTGCTGGGTGGTTCTCACTCCTTTGGTTCATCATGTCTTATGCAAATTTCACCTCAACAATTACTTCTTTCAAAAAGAGAAAACGGGGCTCTGAGAAACAACTGCGACCCATAACTTACTACTGTCCTTGGTCTCTGTTTCACAAACCTCTGTGTATTGTGAGCATGCCATAGCAATTCCTGCCCTTCCCCTGGCCTAGCTTGGCTCTTACTTCTACCCTCCGAGCTGCTATACGTCCAAGATTTACACACCTGCCCACCTGCCTGCATAGGGCCTCCTCACCTGAGCTCCTCAGCTTGCCTGAGCTGCTCTGCAAGCTTCTCCTCCTTCAACTGAAGCTCATCCCTCAGCATAGATTTTAGGAGGTCTTTGCACTCTTCATAGTCTGAGAAAAGACAGACACACTGGCCTCAGTGAAAGACTGGACATGCTGCTGAGGTCACTGCCTACAGGGCAGGAGCCAGGTCCATCCCAAGGACATAACTGTCCCCAATACCAGGCTCTAGGCAGGGATTTCCACCTCTTTACTCTTCAGTCTCCCGACTTTCTGGCATCTCATCCTCCAAAATTCAGAGACAAACAAACCGAAACTCAAGGGCACATCAAGGAAGTTGACAAGATGATTCAGCCACAATGAAGTGGAGTCAGAATTCACAGCCCCTGAGGTCTGACTCTGAATGCGGGGCCACTTTCCCAAGCCTTGCAGCCTCTCCTCCAAAACACTGCACTGGGGCATGAAGTAGAGATTTCTTGGACAGTCGGGAAGGCCCCTAGGACTATGGGACTGATCGTTTCCCTTTTAATGGGAATTTCAAGGACAAATATATCAAAGATCTTAAAAATCTTTGAGTTTTAAATGGTAACTGCAGATGTGATTTTAAGAATCATAACGGCAACATAAAGTATGAGACATAAGACCACAAGACTATGAAGGAAACATGCCCAAATACTAACAAAGTTTGTGTTAATTTAGAAACAGTAGAATGAAGAACTAATAGATAGTGTTTACTCTGTGCCCATAAATGTTCTAGGAGATTGATAAGAAATAGCTCATGTAACTCACTGCAGCAATTTACA